CTGATTGTCACAAATCATCACATTTAGAATCCAGTATCTCTCTCAAATTTTAGATTCCACTCATCCTAAGCAAGCTCTCTTTGATTTAAGAAAAGTTATATTTCTAATTTACCCTTCCTCTCATGACTGTCCTCTACAAACATTTATATCATTCTCTCACACTAAACTGCACTAGTCTCACATCTCTACTTTCACAGATTAACTACAAACAAAAAACTTGATTTTTGGATAAATCTATCAAATTATATTTTGTATTCATGGATTCTGCTCTTGGAAAGGAGATATCCATTCTGAAAATTAACTTACTGATTTCAAAATTGAAGACCGATAATAATTTTCTAGCACTAATTGAGATGATCCAAGGAACCATCTCAGTACTCAGAACACAGAAATGTCTCAGCAGATTAGTTTCCTTCTCTATTCACTCATACTGGCCCAGATGCCATCCCTTTGACAGCTGCAGATTGTGTCCCTCCATCCTGGAGCAGCATTCTCTGTCTGATCCAGGCCATATATATTTGACCCTCCTCTGATATCTTATAGCGCTTTTGTCTATGTCCTTCTATTGTCATTATACCTATTATCTATGTGTATACTTTATGTCCTTCAAATTATCTTCAGTTTCATAAGTGCACATGCATAATCCTAACCTCTGCTTATACAGTCCATAGTACCTAGTGTGGTGCGAGTGGAAGAGTGTCCTTTCACAGAGGTAAGTGTCAGGTAAGAATGACAGCCAGCTTTTCACCCAAATTCTGCAACTTGTCCTAGCCAAATCTTTGAACCAACATTTTACTTAGACTTCTTATTCATAAATGGAATTAATACTTATTTAATCTATCTAATTTGCACAGCCATTGTGACAAGCCATGAAATAAAACATATGAAAAATGTAGATGCACTTCAGAAAGAAGTGCAATTTGAAACTGCCTTGCTTTCTGGCTCAGGTCTGCTATGGATGGAAGGCACTGTCATAAGGTCTCTCCACCTGTCATTTCACTCTAGAATGTAAGCATGATTATGGGCTCCCTCATAAAATAAGAGAAAAGCTCGGAGATATTAAATAACTAGCCCAATATCTACATCTAATAGGTAAAAAAAATCTATCCAAAATGTGAGAACTCACATTCAATTGAAGTGTTCATACATTTAACAGATTTCACTTCATACTGATCATGTAGATAAGCTTTATAGAAGTGAAAGTACTAGACACAGAAAAAATAAACTTTTATGAATGATTAGTTCTCTAAGTTGTATGAATCAAAATGTCTTATGAATTCAAAACAGATGATGAACATGAGATTGATAAATTGAGGCAGTAAGTGACATTCTAAGGGCTGAAAATGGCACAAGCTTAATTCCAGTACGTGGATCATCTGCTTTCTATGTCAGAGCTCTTCATTATTCCTATGAGTATTATTTAAAATGAGGATTTTTAATATCATTACTCTTCATTTAAATACAACTTATCACTGAACTGATACATTTACATATTTCAAGTTGCCTTTATCTATGTAAAACTATTTTCTAAAAAGTGACCCATGATCCCTATAAATTATTTTCATTGCATCTATAAATCTCAGTAGGTAGAGGTAACTCTATTTTAGTCATTGGAAGAACCTCTTCCTCTTTAGCAGAGTTTTGCCTGATATGAAGCCTTGAGTATGTCTAGAAAAAGAAAGAAAAAATCTTCTCCAGTCATTATACATATTGATCTTTTAGTTTAAGAAATTGATATTATTATAGCAAATGAGCTAAATATAATGTATCTTAAACACAATGCATTCTTTAAAAAGATACAATGAAATATTTTCTATTATTAATATCCAATTTCTTTTTCTTTATTATAGAGTGAAAATCAAAAATCACAAAACACAGTGCAAAATTCCATAATTTTAAGATTCTGCACCCAAACTTTTAGAATATGTCACCTATACCTCATTTAATGACCCATTTTTAAACTTTACCATAATGAATCTAGACAAGTATTCAATCAAAGTGTTCATAGATTTAACAAATTTCTTTTTATACTCATAAGGTTTATATGGATTTACTTAATATCTAATCAAATAATTATAAGAACTAGTATACCTGTTATAAAATGTTTGAAAATAAACATAACTGATCTGATAAACATAATTCAAGTGGTGAAAGTGGAAGTTTACGGGCACTTAGAATTACAACTTAGCCTACTGTCCCCAAGAACTTTACCTACCACAGGCAGCAATTGATATTAAGAAGAAACACATGAAATACCAGAAAGCTGGCATCATTATGCAGAAAAAGCTATACTATTGGGAAAATTTATAGAAATAAATATTTATATCAAACAAAATTAAAAATTTCAAACAACCTCATGATTTAATTCCAGGAATAAGAAGAGCAAGAACCAATGAAATTGAGTCTCATGCCTGCATTTTTTAATTTTACTTATCACAATTTTAAGTCTCAAGATTTCTGTTTATTACTATTCCTGATCTCTATCTCTTTGCTGAATTTCTCATTCAGATCATGAAATTAATTTCCCAATTTCATTGAGTTATTAGTTTGTACTCTTATCTCTTTATCCTTAAGATCATAATTTTCCATTTCCATGCAATTTCCCTTCTCTCTCCCTTTCCCTCCCACCTCTCATCTCTGTTTAATGTTAATCTTCTTCTCATGCTCTTCGTCCCTACTCTGTTCTTAGTTACTCTCCTTATATCAAATTTGGCATTTGTTTTTTAGGGATTGGCTAGCTTCACTTAGCATAATCTGCTCTAATGCCATCCATTTCCCTGCAAATTCTATGATTTTGTCATTTTTTAATGCAGAGTAATACTCCATTGTGTATAAATGCCACATTTTTTTTTTATCCATTCGTCTATTGAAGGGCATCTAGGTTGGTTCCACAGTCTTGCTATTGTGAATTGTGCTGCTATGAACATCGATGTAGCAGTGTCCCTGTTTACAGTGGAGGGGGTAGAGAGAGAGAGGAGGGGAGGGGAGGGGAGAGGAGGGGAGGGGGGATGGTGGAGGATGGGAAAGGCAGCGGAGCACAACAGACACTAGGATGGCAATATGTAAATCAATGGATGTGTAACTGATGTGATTCTGCAATCTGTGTATGGGGTGAAGGTGGGAGTTCATAACCCACTTGAATCAAAGTGTGGAATATGATATGTCAAGAAATTTGTAATGTTTTGAACAACCCACAATAAAAAATTTAAAAAAAAAGATCATAATTTTGAATTCATTTTCAAACAATTCAACACTTTATTTTTTTTGCTTTTAGTGGAGAAGTCCTTTGTTATAGAGTTATTATATTTCTTTAAATCATCACTTTACCTTGTGTTGACATGCTTCTTTTGTCCCTATGTTGATATTTGTACATATGGCAGACCAGTTGCCTCTACCAATTTTGCAGGGAGTCTTTCATAGTAAAATACTTTCTCCTAGATATATATGTCCTTGAGGATTGGTTTCATGGGACACATTGGCTTTAGTTCCAAGTGAGCACAGTAATGGAGGGTCCATATATCTTCCTTAGCTGGTAATCAGATTAAGCAATGTCTGTGAGTCTCTCTCTGGCTCAGGTTATGATGCATGTAGGATTTCTCTGCTAGCTGGGCTATAGCATTTGTAGACGTGGTAGATTCACTGGTGGCTCTTGGCTTGACACACTTGGCTACAGGTATGGTATACCTATCAATTTTCATGAATTGTGTCATGGCAGATACACTGTGGCCAATCTAATCAGGAAAAGTGTGGCTGTCACAACAGCAGAGGCAAGACATCCTTCAGTTTCCTGGGAATTTTTATATGACACTGAAATAAAAGAAGGATTAATAGCTGCATTTTGTATTTAGCCCATTAAATATATTTATAAAAAAATAGGCTAAATTTTTGGGTTTTATTCTGGGATGATCAATGAAACATGTACTTAAAAACAGTGATCTCTTTGGGTCTTCCTTATCTTCCCTGTGTATACTTTCAAAGTCTTCTATATGTCATCACCCACTTTCCAATTTTTTTCTCCTTAACATTTAGCGTCACTCTAACATTAACAATATTGTAGTTGCATATTGGATTCTATGTTTTCTTCTCCTCTTGAATATGAGACCATGGGGGCAGGAGATCAGGGCCAGGTTTGATGGAACCGTCAGAACCTAGAACAGTGTCAGGAATGCAGTATATGTTCTGTGTACATTTTCCAGATGCATGAATGAATGAGTTATATGAGAATCAACAGTCATAGAATTTGCAAATAATTAATTTTGGTGAGTCTTCTAATGGTAAATAAAATTAAAAGCATCATACCACAGATCATGTGCCAGGCAATGATCAATACAATTTGTTTATTTTCACTAATTTATGTTCAAAAGTGTGTAAGTGTGTACCATTAATATAGTTATTTTACATATAGAGAAACACATAAGAAAGTCTAATACCTTGACTAAGAAGAAAATGCTTAAATGTTAAATCCCAAATTCTAGTTCAAAGTATGAGCTTTATAAAATAAATTGGGGTTTATTCTGGGATGGTCAATTAAACATGTACTTAAAAACCAGTGATCTCTTTGGGCCTTCCTTCTGTCCCCTGCATCACTATGATACAGTGTTACACCAAGGAGAGCCATCTGAAAAGGAAGAATATTAGATAAGACAAGATTCAGTTTCAGTGAAAAATGTTTCCATTCCTAACAGCAAAACAGCTTCACAGGGACAAATAACTTATGGGACTTGCCTAAGAGCTTCAGGGTAGGGCAAGGAAAGAGTGGTTCAAAGCCTCCAAGAATAAATCACTTTTCTGGATATCACTACTTAATGATTGGGTGATAGTACATTGTGTGAGTCTAATTGTATAAGTACTTTCTCATTCCTTATTCTCCAAGCTTCAGTCCTGTCCTACTCTAAGCTAATCCTGGTAGTAATGAAAAAAAGTTTCGAGGATGCACACCCTAATGAAGTCTGAATTTCCGAAATCTGTGTTCTTTACAGAAGCATGTATATGCACGTATGGTGGTTATTTCTCAATATGTGTGCACACCCTGCTGAAGAGGAAGGTGGAATATGCTTTCAGTTTCATATTACATCCGAGGGTAGGAACGAAAAGACATGGCTGGTGAGTTTCTTTTTTTCCCTTTAAAACAACTGGTCTTGGGGAAGAAATCATTTTGAAAGAGACTGGCTCTATGGAAGCTTGCATTAGGTTTTATGGATGCTTAGTGAGCAAAATGAGGGAGAGAGAGAAGGGACAGAAGGAAAGAAGACAAGAAGATTTTCAAAGTTGTCAGAAAGGAAAGGCAAGAGTGAGAAAGGAACTAGTGCTTTACCGGCATCCTGCTGTCATTTTGCAATCTTAATTCTCAAATGCCATTAAGCCTTACAAAGGGAGCAGAATCAGAACAGGATGAGTAACAGAAGCTGTTTTCCCCCAAAGATACTGGGTTATTATTGTCTCATTGTTTTATTATTCAGATTTGAGGAAACATGGGACATGAAAGGATGACCTCTGCTTTTCAGGTACTAAGAGAGGGACAGTAGCTCTTAGTCTTCAGGCCACTCTATGTGCATATATGGGTGATATTGAAGGGGAAAAGTAGCACAGCAATAGAATAAGAGGCAAGATTGAAGTGTGTGGAGAGGGAGGTGTTATTGATTAAGTCTAGACAATTCTTCATTAATGGTGAAAATGAGGCTGTTTCCTTGACTTGTGAAATTCCTGTGCTTCAAACAGACAAAATTCTGAAGGAGAAGAGAAAGCTATTTATCCAGTCAGTGGAAGCTGGCACAATAAATGGCTTGCTAGATGAATTATTAGAGAAAAGAGTGCTGAACCAGGAAGAGATGGAGAAAGTAAGAGCTGAAAATGCTACGGTTATGGATAAGGCCCGAGCTTTGACTGATTCTGTCATTAAAAAAGGGCCCATGGCGTGCCAAATCTTTATCACTCATATTTGCAAAGATGACTGCTATCTTGCAGGGACACTGGGGCTCTCCTCAGGTAAGCGTAAATGACTCAGGCTGAGGTTTGTATAGTCCAAGTGTCTTTGTGCCCAACATCTGATTTCTTTAATTAGTCATGCTTGTTTCCAAGCAGCTTCCTTGCCTTTGACTTCATGCTCCTATTGCATGTCAACAGACTGTTTGTTTCTATTTCTCATGCCTTACTGGTCTTTTCCTGCTTGGAGTTCATTTTCTATCCTTAGTCTGTGGTTCACTCATTTGTTGAAGTTCTTGAGAACATTCTTAAAAACTTCATATTAAATGCTCCAGTCTGTAGGCAAGGCACATTTTTTTGTTGTTTGTTCATTTTCTTTAAGTCCAGAGCTCTCTAGGCACTAATGTACTTGTATGACATAAAGGCTTAAGATCTGTAATAAATACTTTATATACATTTTCTCCAAATTTTTGCTTTCTATGAAGAATAAAATATATCTGGGAAATGGTGGAACACTCTGAATAATTTGAATGTTTTTAGCAAAGTAAAGATTTTTAAGTGATTTTTTTCTTTCAATTATGTCCTTGAATTTTCTCTCCTAATATCCTTACTAGCACAGTGGCCACCCAGTCATGGATCTCTGTTGCACTTCCCAAAGCTACTGCAGAGGAGAAGTACTTTGAGAGTCAGATGCCTTTTTTTCTAGGCATTTGGGGAAGTCTTTGCCTATCTAAGCTGACATTATGTATTTCCTGTGTGTAATTAAATTATTATTTTTCTTTTAATATTTCCTTTTCATTTTATGTCCTCTTCTATCCCTTCAATTAAAGACAACCAGTAAATGCCAATAGGGTTCGGAAATGATTGTAGAATAGCCAAGATGTCATCTTCTTTGCTCCTATCCTGTCAACCCATAGTTCTTGAATTTCAGAGCTACTTGCATAACTCACTGTGACTATTCTGTTATCTAAAATCTGCTGCTCTCTTGTCTTCAAAGAGACAGTACTATGGATTCTGGTAGAAGTATGAACAATAGGTTTGACTGATTTTACAAAAACACAAATAATTAAATTGTAGGTTTCCAACATTTTCCTCCTCAGAGTAGTTAGTGCTAATGATACTAACAAGGAGATTTGATTTACCTGGGAGACAGGTAAATGTGTGCCACCCTTTGTGTGCCACCTGGAGTGGCCAGCAAGAGTGGCTTAGTGATGAAAGCCCCAGGATTGGTAGTGAAGACAGACGTATGTTCACATCCTGGCTCCACCACTTTTTACACTTAGGAAATGATTCAATCCTTCTGAAATAATGTGTTAATGAGCTATATGAGCTAATGAATTAAGGGCCAGTCCATAAAATCACCATATTACTTATTATTGTTTTTAAATTTATTCTTATTTTTCGTCACAGTGACAGAATATGGAGAATACAAAGAAAATAGAGAATAAAGTACAGAATGTAGAATACAGTTGGGAACCTAATTCTGAGAGTCAAGTTTGTAGGGTATTTTCCTGTAACTTTCATTTATATCCTTTCACTAAATTTATCAAATGCTCTAACCCATGTTTCTCCAGTTTCTCTGGACTATGGAAATATCACTAGTTCACAAGAGTTGATATTATTAATTTAAGTGATGAACACATTTGAAAGAGTTTTGAGAATTTTGTGACAAAATTTTATTGATTTTGAATAAAAATCTGTGATTCTGGGTTGATGAACATATCTATGAGAAAACTAAAATACCCTGTGAGTCCAAGTATTTCTCTGACAACCTTCTTCCTAGGATGTAAGTAGACTGCTGAGAAATTCACCAACTTCTCTCACACTGAAACTAGGGTTTGTTCTTCCCTGATTTTGACAAAGGGTCACCTCACCATTTTCTGCTGTGGTAAAACCTAACAAGAGTAAGTGTTCAAACGTTAACTGTCTAGCATCATATTTTTCTTTAAAACCATAGTCTACTCTCAGACAACTTTACTTTGCACTCATATGTAATGCAGTAGAGTTAACCTCAGGAGACATCTTGAAATACACACATCAAGAAAATTATTGATTCTACAGCCAATGATGTCTCATTTCCACTTTTACTATAGAGCCAAGATCAAGGGAATCAGTTAGAAACATTCTTATGTTCTGCCTCAAATGCTAAGGAACTATACAGCCATCTATACCTAGAGGCCTTTTTCCCCCCAGTGATGAGTGTGGTTTCAGGTGAGTCACATGTTGAAAAGGATTAATTATCAATCAGGTCTGTGAAAGGAATTTTCATGGGGAGTATTCAACACCTGGGGCAAAGTTCTTCAAAGATTATGAATTTTAATATCCTTTATCTTTCTTCAGGTCCACAAACTGGAGATTACTTTAGTATGCAAGATTCCCGAGAAACATTTCTTTCCTTCTCAGGTAATCATGTTTTCAAAGGAAGAATATTCTGTAAACCCCATTTTCCTAGTCATTGACTTAATGCCATAAACCCAGGGTGAGAGTCCCACAGATTTATCCTGTGCTTTTTTCTCTTCTTAATCTACTCCTTTTTAGCAGAAGCATTTCTTGCAACTTCTGTATCTATCTCTCTATCAGTAAAAATGTACGAATCTATGCCTCAAATTCTAATTTCCCACTTGTGTGCCATACCTCACTATTAAAGTGCCTATTAAAGATATTTATTCACATCTTTTCTGGACTTATTTATCTAAACTTTGCCAGAGCTGAACTTCCCCTTCTCCCATCCTGAACTGCTTCCAGTTAATTCTGCCTTTGCTAATTGTGTCACCATCACTATTTGTTCACATCTGAAATCTAAGATTCATCCTTGGTTCTTTCTTTTTCCTTACCTCTAATCAAGCAGTGGCTAACTTTTATTGATTCCTCTCTCAAATCTGGATCCGTTTCTGCTTTTTTTTTTTTTTTAACTTCCACTGCTGTATTTCAAAGTCCCTATTCTGAATATGCCCAGTAATTCTCCAGTCATTAACTCTAACTACATTTTTCCTTTCTCACTACATTTATTCTTTCACTCTTTTGGACTTTTTGCTTCTTGATGAAATAAAACTTATTTATTTTTTCATAGTTATAGTTCTATCTAACCTTGGTTGGCTCATAGTGTGCAGGCAATAAATGTTAAAAGACCATTTCGTTAGATAATATATGTCATAATTATGATCAGATACTAGTCAATTAGGAAAATATTTCTTACATTAATTCTGTTCCAGATCCTGTACTGTTAGAGAATAATGAACATGACTAATAACGTTTTTGCTTGGATTGAATTTGCATGGGTACATAAATCTCAAATGAATAAGTATTTAGGAATCTATCATCAAATTAAAGTTACCAAAGTTTTAGGAATACAAAAGATACTACACATACCTGTATAAGTTAAGACAACATAGGATACAATAATAAAGTCAAAATTTTATAATGTCTCATATAGATAATAGAAAATTGTTTTCATTCCTGACAATTCTGAATTGGCCATTTATTGATCAGCAGCCACTCCCTTCCAACTGTTAACCCAGATACCTAGATATCTTCCATCCCATGGAAGAAAATATCTGTAACATACGATGCCAAAATAATGTGGCCATAACCATCAAGTTTGTGCCATAGGAAAGAATATGGAAGGTCATCTAGGTTCAGCCTAGGTGCATCGTATCAAATGTGCTCACATTACAGTCAGTCACTTGGCTACACCTAACTTCTGGAGTGATTAGCAACATGAACCAGCTGGGTACCATGAGGAAGAGAAGAGCATCTTGTGGTCTCTGTAGATGCTCAGAGTGTGCAGTCTCTGCCACAAAAATTAGTAAAACCTCTTTATTTTACACAATATTAGAGGTAGCACAGAAAAAACTCAGGTCTCAGAGGACAAGCAACATCTTAAGTATTTCAGTGCTGTACCTTGAAAATGGTCTCAGCCTTAATGAATCCTGACATGGTCAACAGGCACCCTTTTGTTCATTGGTTAAAAAAAGAAAAAAATAAATAAACCTAAAAACAAAAAGACAATTTTCCTTTTGCATGAGTCCATCCTCTTAAAAAAATTTAGTGATTTTATGTGCTAGAATGGTTTTCCATTCACAATTCTAGACTAATTTAATTCAAAGGTGATTCTTTTCTCTTAAAAATGAAAGGAACTTATATTTGGAAGAAATTTAGAAACCAGGAAAGTAAGTATTTCAATAAATAAAAACATTGCTCTGCTGAATCAAATAATGGAGAGTATCTCACATATGTTTTCTTAGATGTTTCATGGGAAGGGATACTAACCATAACCAATGCACTATCCCACTACTAAAAAAAAAAAGTAATTCAAACATTTCTAGTTTTTCCTACTCTTCTGTAGATTTCTTTATGCAGAAACAGACCACTCATCCCACATAAAAATTATTTCTATGTGTTTTTTTTTTTTTCAAAACATCCATTCTATTTAGCCCCTATTCTTGGAGTCAACACACATTATGATACCTTGATTTACTTTATTGAGTATACAACAGTTTAAGTTCCTCTTTGAGATTAAATGTAATTTCTCATTGTAACATTTCTCTTCCGAACTACAACAGATTGCATGAATTTTTTTAGCAAGTGCATCACATTGTTGGATGGTATTGAATTTGTGATCAAATGAAAGCCTCAGGAATTTTTGCACATCAACTACTGTGAAAACCCTTCTTAATATATTTGTGTGATCAGTGCTTAGTGAAATGAATCTATTTAGTGTGTATTTTGATTTTAGCATTTATCATTCTTCATTACAGTCCTTCTATTCAATCTTGCCTCTCTACCTTACATCTGTACACATTGGAAAATGATCCTGAAGAATGAAACAAAGGCTCATTTAAAAAAATATATATATCCCTGATGTCTATCATCATGCCTGTTATGTAAATTAATAGGCAAATATCTATAGTTTATAAAACATTTTAATATAGTTCCTTAAGTCCTCTACCTCTAACTCCCCACAATTTTATTGTAAGCTTTAAATCTTTCAAGTAAATTTATACCTTCAATATTTCTAAAATACTGATTGTTTTCTCAGTATTTTTTAATCATTCATGGCCTTAAGAAACTTCCTTTCTATGTATTTATCAAAAATATTTTTATTATAATGCTGATCCTGACCCCTATATCAAAGTACTGGAAGTCTCTGGCTTGGAAAGTGTTCCATTAACAGTGAGCTCACTCCACAACATTCCTGACTAACCTAGGATTGAATTTCTGAGACATTTCCTCAAAATTAGACCATCAGGGATGTAATTATTCATAGCTTCTTGTCTCTTGCAGCTCCTCAAGAGGTGAAAAGCCACCAAGTTGAGCTCACATCCTCAGGCCCAGGAGGGAGCCTCAAGCTTTGCCCCTTAGAAACAGCGCAAAGGATTTGGAAAGAAAAGTCAACAGAGGTGCTGTGCTCAGAAAATAAAATGAGTGAACTGAAAGACACCCTTGAGACTCTTCTGAAGTGCAGTGGTTCTTCCTTAGAGACAATTTCCTTGAGATGTTTTGGAGAATAATCGGGCTGCTCCCCTTAAATAGATGATTTCCATCTCTAGAATCCAAGGCTTATATAGAATTCCAAGTTTGGATCAATTTCCTGTGTAAATCATAATATAATAACCATAACATCAGTGTCTGGTATTGGCTGTGAGTCACACGTTGCTCTAAATTTTTTGCATGTAACAATACTTTTAACCATCAAAATAACTCAGTTTAGAGTGCTGAAACATGCAGGGATTTTAAAGAAATTTTTTCCAAAGTTACACAATCAGAAAATGGACAAGTCAGTGTTGAAATTCAGTAATCCTGGCATTAAAACCTTTGTATGTTTCAAAATCTCATATCAAATTTAGAGTAAGATGCTGAGCTGCCTTTTAGTCACTTGCAAACTCCCAAATTAAGATTCAGTTGCCTTCCCTATTCTTAATCTGGAATTCATGGGATTTGTTTTCTCAATAGGATTAGGGTATGGGAGGCTATTTTAAACATACAGGTTGAATATTGAATTAAAGAGAACAAAACTATTCATTCAATCTCCTTTCTTACAGATTTATCCAATAATGGCTAGGATGACCCGCACTCGTCTTGCCCTCATTATCTGCAATACAGAGTTTGACAGTCTTCCCAGGAGGGCTGGAGCTGATGTTGATATCAGAGATATGAAAATGCTGCTGGAAAATCTAGGATACAGAGTGGATGTGAAAGAAAATATCACTGCTTCAGTAAGGCTTCTAAACTATAAAATCAATAGTCTTATACTTCATACTCCTAAATAATGCTAGCAAGCATGCTTTAGTACCAGGATACTTTGTCTCTTGGCAGTGTATAATCTCAATTTTTCCTTGGAGGGTGCTTGATATTACATAGCTCCTTCCAACTTAGGAGTCCTTTAGCAAGACCCTGGTGTAAATTTTAAATGGAAAGTGTTCCATCTAAACCGTGCTCCTATGTTTCTACTAGAAATCTCAGTGACTTCCTATAAGCATTTCTTTCTTTACTTTATCAGAGAATTGAGACATGAATTTTATTTTCCACGTCATTTATTTTCATAGAATTCCTCAATGAATTCCTTAAATGTCTCTGCATTAGATCCCCAAAGGACAATGGTAGTAAATCACATGGATTAAAATTCAGTGGTTTCTTTCAGGACATGGCTACAGAACTGAAGGCATTTGCTGCCCGCCCAGAGCACCAGACCTCTGACAGTACTTTTCTGGTGTTCATGTCTCATGGTATCCGGGATGGGATTTGTGGCACGAAATATTCTGAGAAAGTCTCAGATGTGTTAGAAGTCAACACCATCTTTCAAATGCTGAACACCTGGAACTGTCCAAGTTTGAAGGACAAACCCAAGGTGATCATCATCCAGGCCTGCCGTGGTGGTAAGTCCTGATGTCTCCTGGGACAGGAGTCATCCAACACTGACCTGTGTACAGCTTTATACATCCAATGTCTTTGTGTCTGTTCCTAATATCAAAGAACACCTGTTATTCCCACTCAATGAGAGTTGCTTCTGTGAATTATGTTTCTGGTTGGTAGTTACCTGTTTCATTTTCAACTAAGGATAAATCACTTTTAGTTTTGAGATTTTAATGCTTGGATGTTGTTAGTTTCAGCATTTTGTTAGGTAAGAATTATTGAGAAGATCTTACATGTGAATATGTCACAATAAATTCCACTATTGTGTATAATAATAATGCATGAATTGAAAAAAAGAAAGAATTATTGGAAAGGTAGCTATTGAGATGAATGCATGTATGTGTATGTGAATAAAAGACAAATAAGTGAATAAGTATGGTTCAACAGGGGTTTAGAGGAGGTAGTTCTCTTGGCAGTTGGTAATAAGCAGCTAGATAAACTTTGTCTTTCCAGAGAATCAAGGGGTGGTGTGGTTAAAAGATTCAGCAGGAGACACTGAAGGCAAATTCTTACTGGATTCAGAAGACCTTGAAGACGATGGAATTAAGAAAGCCCATGTAGAGAAGGATTTTATTGCTTTCTGCTCTTCAACACCAGGTAATGGGTTTATGTGCAGGATACCTTCAGTGGGGTGGTGACTAATAAAGAATTCAGTCACCTGTCAGAGGATAGTTACCTGTATTTAACTTTAGACAAGGAGTTTGAAGACCAGTTTTAGGTTTCATCCAGTAACACTTTCAGTTTCCCTCACCAAAGAGACAAAATGAATATATATATATATATATATATATATATATATATATATATATATATATATATATATTTTTTTTTTTTTTTTTTTTTTTTTCACTGAAGTGATAATAAGTAAATCCTTCCATGGAAACATATTTCTTCCTGAAATTGTGAGGGATAACAGAAAATTAAGTAAAAGTATATTTACACTGAAGTAAAATTGAAATCCAACTTCACATAGAAAAAGGTCCACAGTGTTGGCACCATCAAGAGTCCAACTGCCTAGACATTATATATTTATAGAAAAATAATGGGAACAAAAAGGTAGACAAAGCATAATTGGACCCTAAACTAGACTGAGTTTTAACTAGAAGTAAGCAGTGTACAAAACAGAACATACCAAATGATTCCAAGTTAAGCTGTGGAACAGTATTGTGACTATATTCTAACCCTTCTATTTAGTACTTGGTAAATTAGGTCTATTTATTTAGTTTCTCTGGGGTTCCTTTTAATTCCTTACCTATACATGTAAATATAATATCACTGTTCTAAAGATTAAAAAAGATATTATATGTGAAATATTGAGAATGCCACAGAGTAAAACACATTAAATGACTTGTTATTAAGGATGTTTCTTCTATAATGTAACTCATATGCATTCTTTTATTAAGGATTAAATAGAAATCATTGAGTCATTGAGTTCGTTTAATTACTGAATTTAGCAACTTTCCGGGACTTACATTCCCTTAGTCACCTCTGATCCTAAGGTCCTGCTTCTGCTCAAAGAGCTTAGTTTACAGATTATTTTCTGTAATGAGATGCCATCCCTCTGGAGATAGCTGGTTCTGTATTGTGCTAACCATGTCTTGATATGGAACTCAGTTATTTTTTTAATCAAAACAATAATGCCATGCAAAAATCCCATACATGTTTAGCTTAAGTATAAGGAGATTTCAGTATTATATGTAGTAGTCCTCTGAAATCCTTTGATCCCAGCCTTCCACAAGAAATTTACCTCTGGTAATAATATAATTCTTTGCAGGCTCTGGGCTTCTTGACACCTTTTTGTTGATTTCTGTCTCCTTCTTTTATTTGCTTCTCTCACTCCTCTTTTCCAGATGACTCCTGAAAACTCCCATTCGGTTATCTTCAGCTTAACTACAGAACCTAGTTCCATGTTCCCCAGCATAAATCCCAACACATTGTGATGTTTTCCTGAAGAAAATTGTCCATCCACTTCCTTAATTTTATAAAGGACTTGGCAGTAATACCTGCCTCGACCCTCTCCTATCCATTTTCTTTAACTGGAGAGAACAAGATAAATCAGTTGTGCTTTTAAATAGAATTTTAACTATTAATGTGCATTTTATCATGAATATTGGCTAAAGAATTTGGTCAGAGAATATAGCCACAATTTTATGCATACTTGCTACTATGGCTTTTTCTTTTATGCATGCATTCCTTTGAGTAATTTTTTTATATCTCTCCATTACTTCTCTGTGTCTCCTGTTACACATTTAATGTTGTTCCTCTTTAGAAATTCTTAACCCTGAAAGACCTTTTGTTATCCCACAGGATGTGATTTTTCCCTCTTGAATCCATTCTAGTTTGTATTTTCATTGTGCTGGTACTGTTTTCATTCTGTTATTTTCCATTATATATCCTATAACCTCTCAGACATTCGTGACGTGTTATATCATCTATTCCTCAAATATCTCTTTGTATCAGAAATTATTATGCTCCACTTTATAGTTGAGGCTGTGCATTTCAAAGTGAATAACTTAAATCAAAGTCATTAAGTAGCACCCCTGAAATGCACACTCAATCTTCAAGAACCAGTCAATCTTCTCTGCTCAATTCTGTCTTTTCCTCTCTTTCTGCTAGACTTTCAGCTACTTAAAATCAGGGATTATGTCCCACTATGTGCATTCTATACAGCTTTTTATTGAGTATTGGTAAAAATATAACCAGGAACTTTAAATACGTTAAAAAATTGGCAAATGGTGTGTAACAAAACAGAACCAACTCAATACCATGCCCCAAGGGGAGTGGAAATACTAGAGCTACTTCTCTATGTCTAATCAAAATCCTGTAATGAGATTTGGAATGTGATTTTTTTTTAACAGATAATGTTTCTTGGAGGCATCCCACACTGGGCTCTCTTTTTATTATGAAACTCATAAAAAATATTCAAGAATATGCCTGGTCCTGTGATCTGGAGGAAATTTTTCGAAAGGTAGGGCTCCAGTTGCTTCTTCCACTCTAGTCCCTGGAGTTGGCTATTCCACATGGAATCTCTGGACATGTTTATCTTCCAATAATTCCATTTTTTCCCCCAAAGAAACTCTATGAGGTTCTTTGGTATGTGGGTATACCTGAAAGCCAGATCTAATCTGTTATGGTCCACAATCCCTATAAAACAATCATGTATTTTAACTTTCATTCCACTCTGAGTAGACAAAGTCAATAAACTCTAATTTGCTATTTTTTTTTTGTTTATATCATTTATCTTACAGTTTTTCCATTGCAGTTTTTCCAGCTTAATTCAAGATTCTCCACTAAGGAAAAAAAAGTCTACAGAATTTCCCTTTTCTTTTAGGTTCGATTTTCATTTGAGCTACCAGATGGTAGGGCACAGATGCCCACCACTGAAAGGGTGACTTTGACAAGATGTTTCTACCTCTTCCCAGGACATTAAAATAAGTAAGCTGTAACATTATCTGTTTATGTTTGTGCACATGCGTGTTGGGGGGAGGGATTCTGAAGTCCCATGCTAGCCCAGGCTTCTAGGTCTGGTTTAATAAATGGGGAGACACCAAAGGGAGGTCTTTTCTTTTTCCGTTCAGGAAGGTTCTACAGAGTCAGATAGTCCTTTCTCAGGGTCAGCTGCTATCAATCAAAAGGTAGTCATATGATTACAAAAGCTCACTTTTGGATGTGCTTTCTTCACCTCCATATGACATAATATTTAAGCACAGTATTTAAGCATAGCATCTGGGCACTATCCTTTGGTAAGTGAGGACTCATGAGTAGAGTGACATCATAACTTGCATGGTATTTAGCAGAACACTTTCTTATACTTGTGTTATTTTCTTTTCCCTAGGAAGCCAGTTTTGTCTTTCTGTACCTGTTTTTGGAGTCATGTCTATTAAAAATAAACATTTCTTTAAACAAGCTAATAAACCTGAGAGAAAAAAAAAAGTTTGTCCTGCTTTTGTTTTGATTTTTCTATGCTGGAAAGACAGGAGGTGGAACTTAGAGCAGGTATCAGATTTCTTTTCTTGATTTGACCTACAACAGCTGCACTGGCTAATAGCACCATTCTTTCTTATAATATATATTTGCTTGGCTTTCTGCATTAGTGATGAAGATACAAAGTAGGTAAAGTAACAATGGGTACCTAACTTCAAAAAATCTAGAGTTGATCAGGAGAGGCACACAGAAGACAGAGAGTTATGACAGCAGCAGTAAAGCAACTTATCCCAAAATCTGATGTATACACTGTTGACAGAGTTATTATCAAAACTACTTATTTCTATTCTTTGTTAAGAAATTTGAGACACAAAGTACATTTTTATTTAACCTTAGGTCCCTAGTAAGCTACAGTCTCCTTGAGAAGACAAAACAGTCAACAGACATGAAACAAGCAGGAGACATATATGACACTATGAACAAACATTAGGGTATGATTTCTCTTTATGGTCCTGTGAAAATGAACTTCAAGTGAATCATTCACTCAGTAATGTTCAGTTTGGGAAGGGCTGGAAAAACATAACTTCTATGTGGAAGAAGGAGCCCTTTCTATTATAAACTCCTTAGAGTAAAGGTAAATTTTGACCTTTTGAAAAACCTTCAAAGTTGAATACCTCCCAGCCCTTTCCCTTGTTGTCATTAATTGTTCCTTCAGACAGACCTGTCTAGTACATTCAGGTGTTCCTTCTCCAGCCTGAGACCTCTTCTGCCTTTGGACAGAAGATTTCAAAAAGCAGAGAACAGCTACCCTCAATAAAAATTAAATGTCAGGGCAGTGTTAGGCAGTTCAAGAAAAGCATATTGGGGAGAGAAGAAAAGGGTTACTTCAGAACAATTTCCAGTAAAGATTGAAAAAACAGGGAGACAGAGAGAGGAAGATACTGTCATGAGTAACACAGTCTAAAGAGGAAACAGAAGCAACATGGTTAATGATATCTGGAAATGAAAGGACATTAGTTAGGTGTAAATCCTTTAAGATGTGTGCTTTTAGTGAGCAGAGGTAGAAATACTGAGAGCAGAGAAGGAAGGACTGAGTGCAGGTATGGGGGCTGTGCACAGAGAAAAGAAAAACAAAGAAAACACAACGCAGCTGTCAACTTATAGGATGATGTTTTGTCATGTCCACTTTATTTTTCTCCTTTCCAAAGAAAAGAACTAGAGTTCAGGACTAAGATTGTAGTTCAAAACTATGAGGCTATTTTGGAAACTACAGGGGACTTCCCGACAAGGAAACAAGAATTCCGAGCAGCAGTTTCGAAATCAATAAATAGATGTCCCGCCCTCTAAACTAAAGAAACACTGGGTGACTTTCTTTCGTTTTCTAGTCTGGCGCTCTCTCCACTGGAGAAGGAAGGGACCAAGGCTGTCCTCCATGGCTGGTGAGTGGGGTACCCTCCTGACTAGGACCTAGGGACTTGGATCTTAGAAAACACTATATTCATTGCTCTGTGACAGGCAGAAGTAACAGAAAGGAAGCAGACCAGCTGGGTACAAGCTGGGTTCTTCCCCTTATCACTTGTGTGCCACTGGACTCAAGATGTGGATTTAGAGACACTGAGTGTAGTCTCCAGGTATCTTTGAGTCAGACAGAAGTTTATTCCTCTCCTTCAGTTTCTGATGATCAAGGGGGAGGTAAAGACAGAGTAAGGCTTGAGAGTTGGACAATTCTCAAAGTTTGTAAATGCACTCTGAATTTTTTTTCTGCTTCCTGTAGACTTTGCATTAATCATCAGTTCATAAACAGTCTTTCCAGAAACAGATCTAAGAGGCTTTCAGTTTCTGCCCCTTTACTGTTTCTTATGTTGAATTATATCCTTGTTCAGTTTAAAGTGGCTCCATTTTTCTCCCCATTTTTCTGGTTCTTGTACTGAAAACCCTGGATGTCTTGGATTTCTATCACAGTTTTTCAGCTAGTGTCCCTGTCTCCAGGACTTACCCTCCAATCAGTCCATCCTGCACATGATTTCCAGGTTGCCTGTCTCATACCCAGAAAGGAAAGGCTTAATTCAGGAGTCATTAGGTATTGAGGCAGCTAGTCTTCAATCACATCATATCACTTCTTTGGCTTTATTCTCCTCATTTGAAAATGAAGAGGTTGGACTAGATCAGCAGTTTCTAAACTTTATATCTACATTTCTAATATTTAGGTATTAGACCTGATAAATCTTAATAATCTACAGTCATTTTAAAAATTCAGGATTTGTGCTTTCAATGAACAGAGATAGAAATGCTGAGAAATCAGAGGAGAAAAATGGACTAAGAGAAGGTTTGGGGACCATGGACAAAGAAAAGAAAAAAAGAGAAAAACATGAGACACGTCATAGATGCCAGCCTAAAGGACAATGTTTTGTCATTTTTCTCATGTTACCCCATTACCCTCACCCTGCATAGCTCATTCTTTTTTTTTTTTTAACCAGGAATTGAACCCAGTAGCACTTAATCACTGAGCCACATCCCCAGTACTTTGTGTTTGTTTGTTTGTTTTTAATTTTGAGACAAGTTCTCATTAAGTTGCTTAGGGCCTCGATAATTGCTGAGTCTGGCTTTGAACTTGCAATCCTCCTGCCTCAGCCTCCTAAATTGCTGGGAGTATAGGCATGTACCACCATGCCCAGTCACATAGTTCATTCTTAAATAAACTGTAGGCACATATAATCTTTCAGAGATCTACATAATTCTCATGTAGCTGGTTTTGTGTAAGTTTATCTGCAGATTTGCACTTTTGGCAAAGATGATCAGTTAGTTAATGCTTAGTTCTTACATTCTAGGTACGTATTTCTGCAATTTTCCAACTCAGGAACACACACTGGCTACTTATTGCCTTTTAAAATCTATCTGAACTTTTTAGACAAGTTTTCCACCTTCTCAATTAAGTTAATCATAATTTCATTAATCCCCTTCAGGCATGATTTCAGCTTCCTGCATAGAAACATAATGTATATACTACATTCACTACACTTACAAATTCTTGCTGTTGTTTCTTTACTTTTTTGAATCTCTCTGTAGGATAATTCTTTCCAGACCTTGTGTCTTATCTGAAAAAAATTAAATTAAGATCCAAAATATAAGGATTGATTATTTTCTTTCCTTGTCATCTTCTTACTTTAATAAGGAATTTTCTAGAAAGGAATAAGTTAAATTCATGCCCATGGCTGTGACTTTGGCCAGGCAAGTCTAATACACTGGTTATTGGATTGGAATCAGGGCGTCATTAGATAAAAGATATGAGAAATTGAAATGCACTAGGAAAAAAACATATGAAATGGCTCAATAAATAGAAACCATATAGTTTTTTTGGCCATTGTTAACTAAAATTCCTGAGGAATCAGGACCAAAATTGTGGTCTTGATTAATTTTGTCTTCTAAATTATTTCCTCCATTTTTATAATTACTATAAGTAATTTGGCAATTACTACCACAATAATAAATAACAACTGATTTTTTGGAAACAATCTATATGGTAGCTATTTTATGCTTTTTAATTAAAGATTTAAAACTATGTAATTAGATCTATATTATTGCCATTTTGTAGCTGAAGAAGATACTTAGAGATGAGTTACATAATTTGCCTTAGGTCAAATTTTTACTGAGCAGCGTGATCCTAGGTAGATCTGATTCTCAAAATGAAGATCCTGAGATACTGACATTACCTTAGTTTTCTGCAAAAGTCCCTAAATTGCTGCTTGCATCTGAATTCTCCCATTTCAGTTTTTGCTGTACATTTCTGCTTACCGTAGTATTCCTTCTAATGCGCAGCTCTCCCAGCTTCCAGATTACATCACATCTCTTGAGCCTTTCTGTTTCTGCCCACCTTGTTCCCTGCCAGAAGACAAGCTCCCAGGTTCTCAAAGGTGTAGCTTTCCACTTTCAGGTCTCAGTTCCAAGCCATTACTCCTCTGGGCAGCTGTCCTCTACCATGGGTTACAGTCCCCTCCCACACTCTGCTTTTTTTATTCATACACCCGTTACTTAAATTATTAGTGTTTGTATTTACTTACTTGCACATCCATCTCTCCATTTTGATGTAAGCCTTGATATGTAAGAATATCTTTCCAAAATGGTATCTCCAACCTTAGCAGAATGTATTTATAGGTAGACACCCATTCCATATCCCTGAATGATTAGAAGAATAAATGTAACTACCATCACTTGAAAATTTCCAGTGTGCTCTTATTACCAGTCAAATGTATCAAATTTACTTAGCTTGCTGTTAAATATTCTCTAAGTCAGGTCATGGCTAAATTCAGTATTTTTTACTACATTCAGTGATCAGTGATTCAGTAGAAAATTACTGTATGCCCTCTGAATGCCAATAGTGTAGACCTATCTCACAGAACCTGTACTCACGGAGCAAGCATGGAATATGATGGTGGGATGGCGATAAGTAGGTTTGGAACCACACTCATATGGAAAATAATGCTATCTTTGGAAGAAACAAGCCACCCTAGGATCACATACATTTGACATTTTTGTCTAGGAAGCATCAAGGAGCATTCCCCTAAGAAAGTGCTGTCACATCTGAGATATGGAGGATAAAAAGAGATGATGGGAAGACAGGAAGAAATGAAGGGGTAGGGGATTGAAAATGAAGGGATCCAGCAGCAGAGGTTTTCTAGAAAAAAAGGAAGGGCAGAATATTTCAAATGTAGTGAGCAAGGTGAAGACAGGATCAGAAGATGAGGCTGAATGATGACACCTAAATTAGGTTAAATTGAGAGGTTTGATGATCTCTTAACAGTGGAATACTCACTCTGCTTCCTTGTGAAAAATAGACAAGAAGGGGATAAAAAGTATATAAAGGCTCTTGGGGGTAATTAAGAAGAGAAAGATGTTGGTCTGAAGAGGAGAACTGAACAGTTAGAATTTTGCACATATTTAGCAGATGAAATCAGTATATGAACAGTGATAGAAAATAAGCTATAAATAAGGTAAAAGATGTGTACAGCACCAGGTTTTGCTAATTTCATACACTGGAAGTTAGATATTATTTAGTAGTAAGGAAATGAAAGAAGGGAATTAAAGTGAGTTCACTTTTAAAAGTTAATTTAATGAGTTTGTGGGATATGGAGAAGATATATCACATTGACTCTCAGACATCTGGTACTCAGTCCCGGGTTCCATGTCTAGGCTGACTCTATACATGTGAGAGCCATTAATCTACTCTTTAAAATCTACAATTGGTTCAATAAGATTATGTAAATTATAAAATAAATAATCCAAACCTCTTTATCTTGTTAATTGTAATTTATGTATTTATTTATTTTAACTGGCAAAATAAAATTAAATATGCTTATTATGTTTCAAAATACATGTACACTGTAGAATGCCTAAACAGAGATAAACAACATATGTATTGACTCCTATGTTTATCAGATTTTGTGTGAGGACACTTTAAATTTACTCTGTGAAAAAATTTAAATGATACAGTACATCACTATTAACTATAATCATCATGTTGCCCAATAGATCTCTAGAGCTTGTTTCTCTTACATAATTGTAATTTGGATTCCTTTGACTAATATCTTCCAAACTAATTTCCTTCTTGTAAGCACTTTCTAGTCTCCATTTCTATGAGTTTTGCTTTTTTAGATTCTGTGTATAAGTGAGATCATGTGGAATTTAGCTTTCTGTGCCTGGCCTATCTCATTTCACTTAACATAATATCTTTCAATTTTGTCCATGTTTTCACAAATGACAGAATTTCCTTTGTTAATGACTGAATAGTATTCCATTGTGTATAGATACCACATTTTTCTTACCTGTTTTTCTGTCCACAGATATTGACATTGATTCCATTTCTTGGCTGTTGTGACTACTGCTGCAATAAATATTATAAGTGCAAAAACATTCAACAAACTAATTTCATGTTTTGAATATATTCCTAGCAGTAGACTTGTTAGATCATACAGTAGTTCTACTTAGTATTTTTCAGGAAACCCCATATTCTGTTCCGTAGTGATTATATTAATTTTACATTCCCATCAACAGTGTCCAAGGGGTTCCTTTTCTACATATTTTCTGCAACATCGAATTTATATCTTTTTGATAGTAGCCATTTGATTAGATATTGAAGTGATGTCTCATAGAGGCTTTAACTTGCATTTCCCTGATGATTACAGATGTTGAACACTTTTTCAAATACCTGTGGGTAATTTGTGTGTCCATTTTTGACAACTTTCTATTCAAGTCCTTCATCCATTTAAAAATCATTTTTTTTTGTCTTGGTTTTATGTGATTTGAGGGTTTTTCTTGTTGTTATTATTGTTTTTTAACATATTTTGGATATGAACCCCTGACCAGATGTACCATTTGCAAATATTTTCTCCCATTCTGTAGGTCATGTCTTCACTCTGTTGTTTCCCTTTCTCTATAAAGAGAAAAGCTTTCTAGTTTGATGTAATCATATATATATACACACACACACACTTTTGTTACCTGTGCTTCTAGGGTCATATCCATCATTGCCCAGACCAAAGCAATGGAACTTTCTTTCTGTCTTCTAGAAGTTTTACAATTTCTGGTTTTAAGTGTAGATCTTTAACTTCTTTTTGAGTTAATTTTTGTATATGGCGTAAAATAAGGATCTAATTTTATTCTGTATATGGCTATCCAGTTTTCCCCAAAACCTTTTATTGAAGAGAGTACCTTTTCCCCTCTCTGTGTTCTTGGCACTTACGTTGAAAATCAAATGACTGTAAGTACTTGGGTTTATTTCTATGCTTTCTATCTGGTTCATTGGTCCATGTCTTTGTTTTAATGTCAGTACCATGCTGTTTCAATTACTCAAGTTTTGTGGTCTATTTTAAAATAAGGACATTGACTTCAACTTTATTTTCTTAAGAGTGTCTTTGCTATTTGTGTGTGTGTGTGTGTGGGGGGGGTTCACTTGAATTTTAGGATGTTTTTTCTATTTTTATAAAAATGTCATTGCAACTTTTAAAGGCATTGCATTGAATATTTAGATTACATTAGGTATTATGAACATTATAACAATATTAATTCTTCCAACTCATGAACATAGGATATAATTCTATTTACATGTCTTATTCCATTTCTTTCATCAGGGATTTATAGTTTTCAGTGCATATGTTTCCACCTCCTTGTTTAAATTTATTTTTGCAGCTATTTTAAGTAAAACTACCTTCTTAACTTATTTTTCAGATATTTTGTTGTAAGTGGCCAGAAAGGTTACTCATTTTTGTGTGTTGATTTTGCATACTGAAACTTTGCTGAATTTACTTATTTGTTCTAATAGATTTATGGTGGACTGTTTAGTATTTTCTGTCTATAAAATCATGTGGTCTACAGGCAGGGGCATTTTAACTTCTTTCTTTCCAATAGGTATGCCTTTTATTTTTTTTCTCTTGCCCAGTTGCTCCTGTTAGGACTTCCAGTACTATGTTGAATAAAAGTAGCAAGGGTAGCATATTTTCCCTGTTCCCAATTTTATTAAAAAACTTCAACTTTTCATTATTGAATATGATGTTGACAGCTTTTATTCAGACACTTATTCTTTTGTAAATCTCTTATTGCTTACCATGTTACTTTACATATCATTCATTTAGTCAATACTTCACTATTTCTTGCGCACACAAATAAACAAAACAGAAGCCCAGACCTCAGGCAGGGTGGATACTGCACACACTAACCTAAGTACTGTTTTCAACTCTTCAAAAACTCTACAACACTCATGTTCTGTATTTCAAGACCAGTGTTTTTCTGCCACCTCTTCTATGGAGCCTCAATAATCTCACCAGCTAGAATTTATGCATCTTTTCTGAGTCTCTGAAGTGATTCATTTGTTTTTCCCTAAGGGAATTTTCACCAAGTTCATGTAATGTCACTTGATAATTCAAGACTAGAGCCTCTAAATTCTAAAACCCTTGGTTTTAATTCTTGCTTCTCAGTTACTAGTTACCCTATATTCTTATCACATGACTCTGTGTATGAGATACAATATAGTAATATACCTTTGAGATAGTTTTTATTATATTTTAGTGAGATTTATGTCAAGCACTTGGCATGATGTGTGCTTAATAAATTTTGACTATTGTTGCTGTAACTGTGTGATATTTAACTACACAGAACACGGAATAAGAATGTAATTTGAACACCAATTTATGTACTTAGTGTAAAGTCATTACTTAAATTCTATATATTTTATAATTTATTTGTCACTTTATTATTTAAAAAAGGGATGTGATAACTAATCCATTAGTTTAGTGTGAGAATCCTGGTTTTAATTGATATTTGTAAACAACCTAATGTGATGACTTAGAAATAATGCTGATATATGTTGGTTTGCTATGTATTATTTTCATAACTAGTCATAACTAGTGCATAAGATTTCATTTTTCATTAAATTAATTGATATTACGAAACTTTTTTATGGTTTTCAGCTTCCATATGCCTTTCACATAATAATTACTCAATAAACATTTGCTGAAAATATAAGTCAAGATAGTATGAATGATGTGGCTGGTGCTTCTAGGCCAAAGTTCTTGTTCAATGTCTTGATATTTTCTTTAAATAATGTCATTTTGTGTCAAAGTCATCCTGACATCTAGAAAGATTGAATAACTATATTTATAAAGTTAACTGAGAACTTATTAGGTATCCTGCCTTCCTATTTACAAACTTCCCAATTTCCATTGATAATATTAAAATAAAGGATTAATTTAATACTTTGATATCTGTATCCTTTTCCTCTATAAAATTTTAAATTGTCCTAAGAAGTAGTGATACAGTAACCCAGTGACAAATAATTTACCATAATGGAAGGTTTGTCATTATAGATTTAATTCTGATTTTTGGTTGAGAATAAAATTTTAAAGGATTAGAACTTTAAGGGCATTCCTTTATTTGTTCATTAATTTATATATTCAGTAAGCATATGAGGTCTTTTACAATATTTTTAGGCTCTGAGGTGTGAGTATAGCAACTGTATAAAATGATGTGCATTCCAAGATAGCACTTGACCAAAGACACTCAAAACAGAGGAGCGGGAAAAGCCCATGCTCTAGTGGGAGGAATTAATTGCTAAACAAAGGCATGGAGTTTCCTGAGATCACATATCCCAGGAGGAGCATCATCACTACCCTAGGCTGTAAGTAAAAGAACAAGAATATGAGAACAGTGGATGACGTAACATTTGGCCCAATGCCACATTTGGGAGGAAAGAAACTCTGTAAAAAACAAACAAACCAAAAAAAAAAAAAAAAAGAAGAAAGAAAAAAATAAAAAAGAAAGAAAGAAAGACCAAACACTTAGGTAACAAGGAATCACTATAGTTTGTTCCAAATTCAAGGAGATGTGACATGTCCATGGGTACATTGAAGAGGTGAGCAGTTTGTTTTGGAGATGGTGATTGCATTTTCAAGGATATTTTATGTTAAGGCTGTGTCTAAGGTGAGAGTAAAACTCTTAAAGCCTAGCCTACAGTTGAAGGATTTTTTTCTATTTCTGACAGAAAAAAAACAAGAAATAGAACGACTTAAGAGGTTGGAAATTGAGAGCAAAAAAGCCATCACTGGTTTTTTGGACAATTTGGTGAAAAAAGATGTGATTAAATTACCAGAAGATGAAAAGAAAAAATTTAATAATGCCACACCTAGAGACAAGGCCTGGATTGTGGGGGACTTCATACGACAGAAGCCCCAAGAGGCAGTTCCCTCGGTTATCCAGAGTTTACTTAAGGCGGTCAAAAAGGCCAATGATACAGAAGGTAAGACTGGAATCATTGACAAAAGCTATCTCAAAATTTCCGGAATTTTTCAAACCTTGGGCCCATGCAGAATCTCTATGATCCTCCTATCATTTCATCATGAATGTAGTTTTCACAAAAGCAATCATTGTCTTTTCATAGGCCACTTTGCCTTTTCTCTGGTGAGATCCAGTTTCTAAATCGCTAAAAAGCTATCCTTATGTTTAGGCTGTTCATAGAAATAGTTCACTATTAGAAACATTATAGAAAGCAAAATCTACAATAAGATTCTGTCACCTTGTAAATTAGGTAATTTTGTATAAGTTTTTCCACCTCTTCAGTTATCAGGCTTAGTATCTGTTAGATGGGATAATATACTGCTTCTTTATATGACTTTGTAAGGCTAGGAGCATCTACTGACAGACACATAATTCCCAAAATATTAGCTCTTGTCCAAAATTTTCTCCAGAAGCTCCAAACTCATTTAGCTCTAACTGCATATTCAACATTTCTGCTCAAATGTTCCATTGATTTCATAGAAGTAACATATTTTAAATTAAAGACTTGCTCCCCTAATTAAATCTGTTCAATTTCTATTCCTCTTCCATCTCAGTAGACAAGACTATGTCTATCAAGTTTTTCCCACTAGGTCATGCCTGATTTCTTTTTCAATGAGTAACAGCAATAAGTAGAGTTCTTGACACACAGCAAACAACTAATTAATGTAAGAGGCATAAACAAATGAAAGATAAGCATGTGACAAATGTTAGTTATGATTATTATGTAAGTGTCAAAATTTAGACTTTTTCAATGCTTACACATTTCTGTTAATTACAACTATGACTAAGGAAACCCCTTTAAAATGTCCCAAATTTCATAACTTTTTGAAAGCATTTTACCCATATTGAATAAAGAGAATTGCTAGAGTTCAAAAGTTCTGAGACACAAGTCACCAGTGACAGACTTGATCTTCCAGAGTTCAAACTACTTGTCCAATATGGGATATTATACTATCCAATATGGTAGCCACTAGCCACATGTGACATTGAATTGCATCCAGTTACAAAGGTTGAAATGATAATTTTTTGAACATACTACACACTAT